CTATGGTAATTCAAAGGTGGGGCCTTGAAGAGGTGATTAGATTGTAGGACCATGCCATAATGAATGGATTAATAACGGTGGTCATGAGTGTGGTTCTGGAGGCTTTAAAAGAAGGGTGAATGAGGAGGTTAGTCTCTCTCTGTTCTGCCATTTTCTGTCATGTGAGATCCCTGTGTCACTGTAAAGCCACCACCAATGAAGACCCACACCAGATGTGTTCCCTGGACTTTGGACTTCTCAGCCTCTGAAACTGTAAGCAATAAATTTTGTTTCTTTATAAATTACCCACTTCCAGGTATTTTGTTATAAGCAACAGAAATGGACTAATACATCAAATAATATTTATTGAGTGCCTACCATGATCAGGCCCTGGGCCAGAGTCTCTGCTCTCAAGGAGCTCACATTCTGCTGGGGAGGCAGATATGTCAGCAGATGGTCACAATGTTCACAATGCCACTTGCACACCAAGCGTGATATGAGAGTCTGGGAAAGCTTTCAGTGGAGGTGGGGCTCACATGAGAGTGGGACAAATTTGGGAGACAGAAAAGGGGAAAGGGCATTGTGGGCAGTTGCAGGAAATAAAGCAAGTGCAAAGGCACAGAGGTGTGAGGGGCCATGGCCAGCAAAGCTTCAGAGGTAGGGCAAAGCCAAACCGAGAAGCCACATGTGCTGTGCTGAAGCATTTGACTTCTAGTCTGTAAGGCCACACTGAGGAGGTGCAGGGTGGCAGGCATGGGTGCTCTTAGGCAGGGGATTGATGTCAGATTTAGTGCTGGCATCTGGGGTTTGAGGGAGGAATCTAATTGATGGGTTATGCAGATGATGAACCAGAATGCAGATTTGAAGCAGGGGAGACTGGTTAGGAGTCTTTTGCAATAATCCAGGCAAATGATGGCCAGGATTTGCACTTTAAGGAAGCAGTGCTGGCAAAAGAGAGAAGATGGAGTTCACAAACCTTTTTGAAGTAGAACAAATAGGATGTGGTGCCTGAGGGACTTGGGTTGGGGGTGCTGTGCTAAGGGAGAAAGAAGCATCAAGAACTGGGATAGCAAGCTGGGAAACCGGATGGGTAATGCTATGAAGGACTTCTATGCAGTTTGAATTCTCAAAGGGTAACAACTTTATTTTTTCACTCCAGCAGCACATTGTTAGGACAACAAATAATTGTATTTATTCATTATTGGTTTTTTTGGCAGCCACCCAGTTTGAGGATCTGAACCCTTGACCTTGGTGTTAGAACACCTTGCTCTAGCCAAGTGAGCTAACTGGCCAGCCCCCAACAAATAATTTTAAAAATTCTTTTTTGAAAAGCACAAGAGAAATAATTTAATAGTAATCACTAATTTAACACATCACTTCATATTATCTTTGCCTACCTGATGGAGTTTGGATGTGTTGTCCTCTCCAAAACTCATGTGGAAATTTGATCCCCAATGTGGCAGTGTTGGAAACTGATTGAGTCATGGGGGCGGATCCCTCATGAACGGATTAATGCTCTCCTTGGGGGAGGGGGGAATAATGAGTGAGTTCTCGCTCTATTAGTTCCCGCCAGAGCTTGTTGTTTAAAAGACCCTGGCACCTCCTCTTCTCCTCTCTCTTGCTTCCTCTCGCCATGTGATCTGCTTCTACGCACCGGCTGCCTGCCACTTTTCCGCCATGAGTAGAAACAGCCTGAGGCCCGTGCCAGATGCAG